CCGATGCATGACCATGCGGGGAAGATTGTTGGCCAGGCCTGACCATCACGAGTAGTTGTCTTGGTGACCTCGGTAGACGTCCAAGTGAGCCATGTCCAAGGTTGGACACCTTCGGGAGGCTTGATTGTGGCAGTCAAGTAGAAAGCCGTGAGATCTCCATGCCCTGAAGAGGTAGAAGATGTGACCGTGGAACCAGGACCGTTTGATCCACTGCTTCCGGGAGATGCAGTTGAGGTAGAAGTCGCAGAGTGCTGAGTAGAAGAGGCATGGTGTGTAGATACGATGCTCTTTTGAGTGCTGCCCGGAGATGCCTTAGTGGATTTGTTGTCATCATCATCTTTCTTGGTAGACTTCTTGTCATCATTGCCCTTCTTGGTAGAAGTCTTGCCATCATCGTTACCCTTCTTGGTAGATGTCTTGGAATCGTCATCATCGCCCTTCTTGGTTGACTTCCGGTCTTCCTCGGTGGAGACGATGGGAATCTTGGTAGACTGCTGATCGTTCTCTGTCGTAGATGCGGAAGTGGTCATTGCGTGAGAGCTGCCACCACTGGAAGCAGATCCCGTCATGTGTGGGGTCTCAGCATTGCGATCAGTGCCAGAGGAAGACGTCCGAGGCACATCGACGGCAGTTGTACCGGTAGCCACATCTGAGATTGAAGTCTCAATAGAGAAAGAGTCGCTGGAGATGCTGTTGGACGATTGGGATGGTTGGGGAATGGTGGTCGACGCTGGACTATGGTCAGGGCCTGTGGTAGCACCAGGGGTCTGGGCTGTACCACCTTCGGACAAAGATGTGTGCAGCGAAGAGGCGGGGACAATGTCACCGGTGCTACCATTCTGGCTCTCCTGAGAAGTGGATGGTGATTTAGTAGAGGACGCAGACAGGTCGCGATTTCCGGTTTCAGTTGATGTCGCTCCCGAGACAGTTGGCTGGTGACTCTGGAAAGAGGAATCAGAGGACGACAAAGACTCGACTGGACCGGCAATTGTAGAGTTCCAGCTCAAAACAGTCGACGAGGACCCATGCTTGACTGCAGTTGTATTCCAGTTGGTACGGCTGGAAGAGGAAGCAGAGTGGATGATTGTAGAGTTGGGGGATCGAATCAAGCTGCTTTCAGAACCTGTGGTTGTGTTGAGGTAGCGGGAAGAAGACTGGGTATTGATCAGGTCGGAGCTGAAGGAAGAAGAGCCTTCAGACGCGCCACAGGGAAGCGCGATGAGAATAGAGGTGGTCACAATGCGAGTGACAACGCGGCCTTCATGAAGTTCAGAGGTGGAGATGGAAAGACTAGTGCCGTCAGTGAGAGCGGTCGAGGCGAGTGATCCGGTAATATCGTCTCGCTTCTTATGGTCTAGAGGGAGGGATAAGGTGGTTAGATGGAGCCGCATTGTCGTGAGATTGATATCTCTTACCCCTGTCACGAGCCTGGCAGATATTGACCGCAAGAGCGAGGAGCAAGAACGGGATGAGACTGTGGCACCAAGCCTTCAAAGAAGACTTGTGCTTACCCATCGTGATGGATTCCGCCTCTGTATCGGTCAAGCAAAGGTCTCCTTCGATATCTGGCGACGATGGAGCGAGTCGAGAAGATGGATTGGCTGTGAAGGGAAGGGAGTCGTGGGTGAAGACAGCTCAGATTCGAGGGGGTGCGCAGGAAGAAGAAGGGAAAGCACAACAAAGAAAAGAGAAAGTGGAAGGGAGTTAGATTGCTCTTGTGGCAGGTCAATAAATCTGAAATTTGTGAATGGGCTCACAATTTAATCAATATGTGGGCGGGCGGTCAAAAATCCTTTGTTTTCCTGAATCCCCGGCTTGTTAGTGGTGGGATCAAGAAGAAAGCACGTGAGGGTGAGGTGAAGTAAGATGCTATGGAAATCGAGGGAAGGAACGGTTCGAGGGAACAAGACAGTGGCTGCTCCTCCGTCCATTATTGAAAGCCTCGCATGTATTCTGTGTGAATACCCAGGTCAACAAGTTCTTGGCGACTCCAGTATTACTGAGGGCTCATTGCTACAGAGCTCTGGGCTGATAATTTGACTCTGGCATCTCTGTTTTAAAGTAATGTAATGATACCATTACTTCCACCCCGAAATCACAACGCCCCATTGGCCGTGAATACAGTATAGAGCTGAACTATCTGCCCAGCGACACTGCAGCTGAGGAAAAGGAAAGAGATGAAGTGTCTCTGGGCGTGAGTTAACACAACGTTGAAAAGAATTGTAGGATAAGGTAGTTTGAATATATATAAACATGATATTTGATAGCCATATGACAAGGAAGGCTGGTCGAATCGAGTTTCAAACTCTCCTATAGAATTATTTCCCTGCACGTAGGGAAGCTCCATAGAAACGCATTAAGCACCTTCCTTCAGACCAACAGACTAGGTAAATAATCAAACATCCATCTTTGATTCCTGTTTCTTTCTTTTGGTGAAAAACTGCTGTTGAGTATTTTTGACCGAATGTCGAAATCAGAGTAAATAACCCGTGGCAGATCGATGATATTGATCTCGCGGACTTTGCGACCTTAATCCCACCTATTCTCGACAATAAGTGACTAGCTAGGTTTCCTGATAACATACACCTTCACATCAAGACATGCTGTCATTGTTATTAGCTTATGAAAAGAAAAGAGAAAACCAGAATGTCTGCACCTCAATGTCTGCTTTGTTAGTCATCTCGATCGTCTATAGAGTCTTACGGTGGGACTCTGGATATTGAGATTTGACGAGTTGGATTCACTCATGTATATCGCTAGATCTGGCTAAAGTCTCGATCTTAAATGAAAAGTTTTTCAAACTACAAGAGAACTAGCAATTTTCCATCCAACTCTTCTTGGGGCAACACTCTTTTGTGTAATTCATTATCGCCAAGACGTCGAGCTACATGAATCCCAGCACAACTGGCATTGGTATTTATAGACGCATTCGAAAAAGATAAAACACGTCAGCTAGCAGTGAGTAGAGAGTTCGTTGGGCCTCCAAAGATTGTGTCTCTTGACTCAGCGTTCTACTCTCCGACGGTAGTCCATCAAAGAACCAACTATTCTCAAGTGTTCTCAACAAACATTCATATCCATATCAAGCCTCATGGTCAAGAGAGAAGGCTTCGCGATGTTCAGAAGTAATCCCTAGCCTGAGGTACGGACACCGCCATCATGTGAAATTAAGAGCACAAGCCCGCTGGCAACACCATAAGGCCTCGATCTGCTAACGAGGGCGTGGCTTCGGTATTTTACCGTTATAAACTGTGGTGTTGAGGTAAGCGAGATGGCAAAATTGAGTGCTGATGCCGTTATCTACTCAAGTGGTGTAAAGTGGTCAAACGAACTCTAGCTGTTTTGTTGTGGAGCTGCCATCCGTTTGCTTCTTTCTGCCTAGTCGATGCTCCGTACTCGATGCTGATACCGCGATTATGTCCGATAAATTAAAAACCTGCCCTATGGGCTTAGAAACCCATTGAGACTACTGTACGACAACGCTGACGGCCACAGGCGTATACTGTACTTAATGTCTTCTGAGGCGCGGCATGCAGCGACAGTGGATTGTCCATCTTGGCCAGGTATTGACATTCAACTTGGCAAGTAAAGTGCATTACACAACGCAATGCTTACACTGTTTCAGCTAAATAAAACACGGGAACACTTTTTAGCCCTTATCGCAAGATTGTATCCAGGACGGCTAATCTTGTCCCCCAGCCAAAGAGGACAATGAGGGCTAGTGGTAATCACCAAGCAAACATGTATTCAGGTAGGTGCTGTTTTGGATGATTACTGCGTCTGGGCGCGCAGAACATCCAACACAGAAAGGCAAAGCCAATTGCATGAACCCTTGTTCCAACAGCGTTGCCCTTGCATAAAGATCTCTGCTCAAGGCTTGCCAGTCAACGCGGGGACTGTGGCCGTTGCCGATGTGCCGTCTTGGGCGTTATGGATAGCCCCGGCAAGACCCTAGCGTGGCCAGGTGGCTTGCAGACCACAGGAACTTTGTGTGGATGTGGGCTTTGAAGTGCGATGATGAATTTGGTAAGATCATCGTGATGTGTGCAACTGCCTGAAAACCAGAACACAAAGTTCATTCATGTGGTTAGATTATTAGGCGGTTACTTCTTGGGACATTAGGTCATTGAGTAGATTGCTCAACAATATAATGACTGCATGTTTGACATACCTTCTATATCATCTTTTGCGTTCTCTTGCTGCAACAAGTATTGCTGCAAGCTGGCTTGCTTCCCTATTGAAATGTGAAAGACACGCTGCCAGTTAATGCATCATCTCTGTGTCCCCAAAATTAGCATAGACTTGAAGTTCCGAACTTCTGGTTACTATAGGCGAACAATAATGATATTAAAAGCGAAAGTGGCTTCGGGGTATTGCCATCCAAGGTGCAGATTGGGACAGCCTAAGTGATGGTGAGGGAGAGCGGCTTCACCTGGGCTGGACCGGGTCTGGCGGCAAAGCCATTCGCGAAAGGGGTTTATTCGCATGAGTGGCATCTAGATTTCATTTGCGTGGGTTTCCATGGCTTCTGGAAATATTAATGGCTCAATTTGCGGGCTTTGTGGCACGAAAATCCTTTATTCTTGTGTGTCCTCTTTCTCCTTGAACGAACCTGAGGCCCTTCTTCATCATCATCTCCTTCTCGGACTGCACCTCGTTCCTGCGTCTTAGAATCCCGCGTCTTGGGCTGCTTTCTAAATCTGACACTTCGACACAGACCTCGCACACCAAATTTTCAACTGCCCTTGCCCTCACCTCTAGATCATCATCCTCGGCCTCTTCGCTGGAACATGATTCTCCCTCTCCTCTGACCCTACCATGACGATCTTATTGCCGACATAAGAGGAAGCAGACAATTCTTCTCATATAACAAGTACTAATAACTACAATCCCCAGGCGAGGGTGCTGAGAATACATTGAGCACTCTATCAAGGCCCGCGCCCGAGTGTCTACTACATTCAGTTTTCGCCTGCTTACTGCCTCCGTGGTTTCGTGTCGTGCTACCGCTTCATGAGTCGTTTCTTGTAGGCCGGTTCCTGTCCCCTATCGTCATCACGGCCGGACTTCTTATGCGGCTTCCCTCTGCCCCTTGTCTGAGAAACCGACGTGGACCTGGGCCGCTTTCCTGCCGCTCTGCTTTCCTGTTGTTCTTGCTGCTGCCCCTGCTTCTCTTGCTGCCCCTTCACCTTTTGCGGCATGGACGTATTGATCCCGCCCGACTCCTTAAGTCGATCATTGTTCTCCTTTTGCAGATCCTGGATTTGATCGTTCACCGCCTCCGGGTCGCACGGCACAAGCTTCCCGTCCTCGGTCAAGAAGACGCCATTCTCAAAGTCGGTACTCTCGGTCTTGACCCGGTCCAGGTTGATCAGACAGCACCTCGAAGACGTGTCGTATTCGAGGGGGAAAGGGCCGTAGGTCGTCTTATTCAATACGGCTTTTCCCTTCCACGACAGTTTGTTCTTTCGAATTGTCAGCCCCAGCTTGCCGTCACCGAAGTCATGTAGCTGTAAGCAGAATTCCCAGTGGCCTTTGGTAGGCGGCGCTAATTCGAGAATGTCGTAGCAACACGTTGCTGGAACGTGGTCCCATTTGGCAGAGGCTTGAAGCTGAGGGTCACAGACGATCTTGAGCCTCGTCGTCCCGCTGTAGCGCTTCCTAAAGTAATGGGGACCATCCTGCCAGATCGAGCATTTGTCAGTGGGAAAAGCAAAATGGTTGATCGGCATCTAGCAACGCACGTCCATAGACCGGGTTGAGAACGCAAATACCTAAGTGAACACCTGGAGTTCAGGGGAAATCTTACAGAATCAAGAGCCAGAAAGGCTGTATTATCCCAGCTTATGAAGCTGCCATTAGCGCCCTTCAATGGGCGACCTGTTTGGAAACCGAAAGCAGCGCCCCTGTCAATGAATTCCTTCGCCATAATACTACCGACCGCCGCAAGAGCAGCGCCTTTGCTGATGTTGAAAGAGCTGTCAAGACGGAGGACATATTAGCAGCGTACTCATCTCCGAACCTTTCGGAATTTCGAGTTCCCAATCTACATACTCTTTCTCACCCACCGCCTCGTAAAAGAGGAACGGCTCGTCAATCTTGAGTTGAGCACAAACTTGCTGAAGATTCGCCTGCACTAGAACGTTCTTGCCACTGCCGCCAGACAGAACTATCTTGACGTTCGAGCCCAAGGCGACAGCAGCGTCAATCTTCTTCCTGGCGAGTCTTAGAGGGGTTTCTAGCCCGTCGAGGAAGCATTGCCTGGCATCGGTCGCGCGTAAGTGTACTGATATACTACCGTGGTTGTCTGGATCTTCTGCGTGCAAGACCATGCTCGCGAATAGGCCTGTCTGGAGCCTCTTGATCTTCAAATGAAACATTTCCAAAAGATCTGCTCGTTGGCTTGGGAGTAGAGTCAATTTGAGTGACTTTTCGGCGTAATTTGTTGCAAAGTCATCAACTCTTTTCTCCCATAGTTGTGTACCGCCATGAGCGGCTGATAGATCGTTTATCAGACGTGGCTCTGTGGGTGAATATATCGAGAACGTGACCGGACTTACTGAAGGGTTCCCCAACTTGAAAATAATTCAACCCATCGCCACTTCGTCGTACTGCGCTGAATATGCAGCCGTTCTGCGCTACCGCGGTCAACATCTCTCTAGGCCAATATCGTAAACTCGCGATCATCGCTACAGCTGACTCACCATCGTGTGACCTCCAAAATCAAGAAACACCAGATGACAAGGCTCGTCCACTTTAGTGAGGATCTGCTTCATGTGACGCGGGCTCGAGAAGAGAAAGTGAGCCGACGCCAGACTCTCCACATGAAGCTTGATGCGACCGTGTGCTTTTGTAAACGTATTAGACTCCATCATGACGGCGGCAATCAGGTTCTCGTAGTTGGACAGCTCCTGGGCGGTCCAGTGCGCTGGATGCGACAGGCCAATCTCGTCAATATGAAGCGCGCGATCGGTGCAGAAAGTTGTCACCTCCTGGAATACAGTCCTCACGATGGCTTCAAGGGCCCTGCGTATCCGCTTCTCCATGCCTCTGAACTTTGCCAAGAGGCCATCGAGCAGTGGGTTGCCGGTCTCGCGGTCTTCGCACAGGAACCATTTTGAGGGAATGGGCGTGCAGCTCTGGTTGTACACCTCGCCCGTGTACACTATGCCGCCTCGATCGTCGACGTAGAGAGTTGAGTTGAAAGCGCCGGTCTGATAGCGGATGTCATGTCCAGGAACCGCGCCGTGGTTCCAAATTGGGTGCAATTCCTTGGTCTTGCGGATGCAAATGGTTGCACGTATGGCGGTGCTGCCCCAGTCTATGCCCAGGATGCTGTACGTCGCGAAGACAACGGCCGGTCAGTTTATGAGATATAGATTACGGTTCAATGATGGAATGAAAGGTGTTGATATGGTGATGAGTAAGGTTATGGAGGACTTACGCTGCCTCTGACCTAGCGCGAGCATTGGACATGGGAAGCGGGATGTGACCACTCGAGCTGTCACAGTGGCTGTTTTGAGATGACGTCTCTGGCCTGAATGAGGCTTACATAGGTTGGCCTTGTAGGCAGTATTTACACTTAAGACGCGTGCAACACGAGTTGTAAGATTTCTGCGCGCAGGTTAAAAAGCGGCGTTAAACCTGGGAGTGAAGCTCTATGAGCACGTCCGTTGCCGCACTGAAAATGATGAATGAGGTGAGAGTACGGATAGATGAGGGTGGGTCGGCCTATGTTCTGAAGCACGTCCCCTTTTACAGGAATCGCTGTTGTTGTCAGCGACTTGTGAGGTTACTGGCTGGGACGTGGGATAAGGTAGGATCAAGTACATCAGAACCTTGGGGCGGGTAAGGATATGAGAAACAGCGGTAAGAACAGGAACTTGTACAAAGGCAGAATTACTCCACTGGGCGAAGTGAGGAACGCTGGTATGGCGAGTGGAAGATTTGCTAAGGGACAAACGCAGCAGCAGTGTATCTGAAGTGCAGGCTTTCTGACCAACCTGCACACTGGTCAAAGACGCGACTTTTCGCGACGCGGCTAGCTACCTATAGTGAATAGGCCAGGGGCCCCATTTGTTTTACGCAAGGTAGGGGTATCGGCCAACATTACATGCTCTGTTCCACATGTATCCGTACCGATACATTCCAAAAAGGAAGTCGGGCAGCGTTTGACTTTACACTGAGTGCACCTGGGCTTTTGTGACTAAGTAGCTGACCCCGCCAGTATTCTTAAGGGTTGAAGTGAATGGGATGCCACCTCTTTCGCAAGTTACTTCAAGAGTGTCGCATCTCTAATCGTATTTAATAGAGGTCTTCAAGTCATCTTTTTTTCTGTCGAGAATGACGTTTCTCAAGTTCACCCTACAACCTTACCTTCCTTTTCCTCGTTCATGCCATTACAAGCTCAGTAAAAACTCCACAAAAGTCCGTCACCTGCCTTTCAAAATTCACGATAGCGTGACATGCACAATAACGTGGCCAATCACTTGGAAACGGCAGACTTCAAGACTTGGGCAACAGCCCGATTCCCAGCCCTCCCCAGAACTTGGGGGCCAACGGACGATTTCTACCTTATCCCGGCATCAACTCAATCTTTAACTTCCTTCAATCGCTTCGGAGATGACACCCAAAGCCGAAATGCTACTACCCTCATGAGAATGCTACCCTCGTCAGTCAATGAAAGATACTTCGCGAGAAGACACGCAGTGTAAGTATGCGGGCGCGCTTACCTGGCTTCCGTAAAACCCAGTGATGGCCTCTCCAGGACCTGTGGTGACTAGAAACGAAGTATTGCTCGGCAGGTTATCTTGAATGGAGAAGAAGCAGCTCCTTCCTCGATTCGTGGACACCTCAACGTGATTACTTCAGCGCACATCTCTTGCGGGGGAGTTTGGACGACGGATAGGTGAACATGGGCAACTCACCTTGAATGCAGCTATGAATCCTTCTTCCACCATCCATGTGTAAGCATCTTCAGGGTCAACGTTTTCCTGGAGAATTTCGACCGCATTGATGAGTTCGCCTCCTGCTCCATCGATTTCAAAAATGATTTCCTTTGTCAAATCTCCAGGCATTTGGCAACCGAACGTTCTATCGAGTTCTGGAACATTGTATGTGAAGTCGATGCGGTATATGCCGGCGCGGCCCAGGACGACTCTGATATTATTGAGTGTTCGAAGGTGGGCACCACCTGGGCCGCCGAAGGAGGTCCAAAATAGTGGTTTGAATCCGTCCAAGTAATGTTCCCTGGGGGCGAAAGAAGTTTCATTCAAGCAGAGGTCTGGTCCCGGGACCTCAGGGTACCACATCCCCATATTTCTCAATCTGTTGTCATCCTGTGCTAGTCTTGCGATAGATGAAGAATGGGGAAAGATAGCCAAGCTCACAATTTTGCAACCCTGTGAAGTCAGCATACTTGCATGGGACAAAGCTCACAAGGTCCACTTGACTCACATCAAATCCAATATCAAGGTAGTTGATGCGCTCGCCTGCATTGAAGCGCAGTGTCTTGAGCGACGTCTCCGGACTGCCGAGCCAGTGGGAGGTGTCGAAATTCTGATTGATGCATTGCAAAGCTTGAATCCCCCTTTCTCCCACAGCTAGCTTGAAGCCGCTTATGTCTGAAATCTCCACGGACTGCTCAGTAGTAGTTCTGTAGCCTATTTGACGAACATCGCCTGCGACCGTGGTAAACTTCAGTCCAGCGATGTATAGAATCTCTCCTACGGGAATAGACCAGATAGAAACCATCGATAGGTCTTCAGGGATGATCAGGCGGTACGTTTCGCGGAGAAGGCAACCCTTATCCAAGTGGGAGTGGTGTGGCCCGCTCGGTCTCTCCCACAAGTCTCCCGACACTTTTAAATGCTGGGTCGAGCCTTGCTGCTGGGAAGGTTCTGAACCACTGTCGATCCATTGGAAGTCCAGAGCTGCCACGACTCTCTGGGCCAGATTCCAAACACGAACTCTATTCTGGAGGCCGGGACCATGTGCGCATTGTTGGTTCGACGATACAGCCATCTCCAGTCCCGAGGCTGAGCCCCGTCCTGGGATTCAAAAAGCCATGAGCGGTCTGACTTATGTTTGAATCTCGAGGCCCAGAACTGTTGACTATTGAAAATCGTCCAGAACGAACGTGAGGACAACCGTAGGTTCAATACATCCAAAGTCGGTAGGCAAATAGCGATCGCTGACCGTAGCTCCTCTGGGAGCGCATAGAAGCTGTCCCGTTCTGGTTCTGGGGCTGCAGCATCGGAAATAGGCCCTTCTGGACTTGGCGGCTCTTCGGGTGCCTCAGTGAGCAAGTGGTGTGCCTCTTCAGCTTCGTACGGATTGGCGCTGAGAACGGGGTCGGGGTCGATGTAGTCCCGGTCGGAAAATCTGTCCTCGAACGGAAAGTGGTGTTCATTATCGACGATACTGGCTCCCCCGTAGTCGTGGCCCCAGCTGATACCTACTGACAATAGCGGAAATGGGAGTGATTCGCAGACGTCGAACAGTCTCAATAAGGGAACTGGACTCGGATGGAAGGCTTTCTCTAAGAGGTCCCAGCAGGCTTCATGGAAAACAAAGCCGTGTCTTCCGTTAACTGGCGGGAAGCCCATAGCACCAAATTGGTCTTCATCTGTACTGTTGTAGGTTGGGTCATCCCAACGACGCTTGAGGTCGACTGGGGCGATGAATGCGCCCCTTGCCGGATCATCGTATAAGCCAACACCGGTGAGAATGACGCCATTTGGACTTGAAGTGACTTCGGATCAAGTTAGGATGCTTACTACTACCAAAAACAAACTCAGAGCGCTTACCTCCGCGGAACTGATTCAGCCAAGAAACGCTGCCTGGTGCATCGACGACGATCCATCCACAGAGAGTGCACGAGCATATACGGGGACTCATGCTCGTTGTGACGTGGGAAAGGAACTTGGCAAGAATACACGGCAAGTTAGTTTGGAACATTGAGCGGTTGCCTGGGAAGGTTCCATTTTCGCTGCAGGCCCGATCAGGAAAATGTTGGGCCCGTGCCGTCGCCTCGAAACCTGGACCTGAACATGGACGGTACCTTGCTGCTTAGGCTGCGATCGTCTACCATTCCATAAAATTGTCTTGTTCACAATACGCTAGTCTTCGTAAACTTGAAGATGATTCTAGTTACTATTTTATCTAAAGATATACTGATACTTGATTCCATCCCACGGGCATGTTATCTGTGACTGTCGGTGTCTCTATCGATGTTTCTTACCCCGAAGTCCTTTCCATCAATTTGGCGCATGATTCTATGCTTCCGTGTTATCGCTTGCATTCACTCCAACAGCAGGGATTTCAGTGACCATCGCAAAGTATGAGTAGATTTCCTCGGAGGATGGCTCGTTGCCGTACTGCATGTACATGTTAGCTAAATCCAGATCTCAACGTGAGGTGGGCGATAGGGAAACCTACTGCCATATATGACACCTGCATATTCGACTCGCCATTGTTCTTGTTCAGCCAAATGATCTTGCTAGCGTCGAATTTAACCTTATCGGTTCCCATGGCCTCGTTGATGATGCGTTTCATGTCATCTCGGTACTCAACCTGCTCGTCCGTGGAGTATGCTTGGTTGATGTATCCTACGGTCCTGGTGTAGTACTTCCTACCGTCGTCGTCTTCCGAGTCTGATCCGGCCCCATTATTGTTCTTCGCTAATCTCATCTTCTTCTGCATTGGCTCGGCATCTGTATCTTCATCTGAGAATTCCCCATTGTAAAGCTTGCGCCTTCGAAAGCCTTTCGGGTTTTCGAGAATAGCACACAAGTGTACTTCCAAGCCTAGGCTCTTGAAGGTGTTGTAGATCACCATGTCAAGACCCTTAAGGCAGAACGGAAGGCCGTGCTCCTTCTCGGTGTGAGGATAAGCGTGTGTGCTGTAGACTCCCAGAAGTCTATCCTTGGACTGGAATTTCTTGGAGCCGAGCAAGTCTACAACCTGCTTGTAGAGTGGCAGCGAAGTAGGGCTGAAAGCAGATATTTGACCTCCGAGGTCTCCGTTTCCTGCTGTCGCATACAAGTTGTATGTCAGCGTAACCCTGTGACCGGACTTGACCTCGAACACTTCGTGTGCGCAGTCGCTGTAGAAGGCCGCCCACTGAATGACAGACTTGGTGGAGCTCTTGGCCCAGTCGAAGGAATGAGTCTGTCCAAAATGTCTCACGGCCAGCTCGCCACCCTCATGCTTCATCGGAAGACAGATAACCAAGGAGCCAATCTGGTAGGGCGAACGAGGAGTATCGACGTGCGCCTTGAACTTGCCCGAAGGACCAGAGTAGATCTGTAGAAGGTCATGTCAGAGACATCGAGGTTGTACACCATCATACATCAACCCACCTACATTCATGTTGTACAGCTCCGCACGGATTGCCCGCTTGTCTTCGTCCATGTCATAACTGGGGAGAAGAACCTGGCAAACAGCGTCGATGATGCCTGTTTCATACGGACAGAAGGTGGTGCAGAAATCACCCGCACCGAGCTTCTGAGCCTTGCGGTAGGTTTCATCGAATTCGTGCCGCCCGTCGAGACCGAATGTAGCCTTTTCAGAGACTTTGAGGAGGTGGTCGAACGCGACGGCGTCGTCATCTGAAGCGACTGGGAAAGAAACTCGCTGAGGACCAGGACGCTCCGCTGGATTGTCCCAACGAAGAATGACCGAAGAAGACGCAACCTGAGCTGTAAGTCAACATACCCACTTCCTGGCACCCCCCTGTTTCTGGCACCCACAAAAACGCGAAAATCCACCACAACCCAATGCCCACCCCCAACCTCCTTTTATCACAACATTTTCAATTCGCGTCCAAATGGGCTCATCTTTTGCACATGTCTTCTTCTATATATAATGCCTCAATATACCGAAGATCAGCTTCGTCAGGCTCTCGAGGA